CTTCATTTCAATCAACGAAACACTCATTAATTTTGAACACATTTTATAAATTAACTAAAAATTTATTTTAATTTCCAAATAAAACTAACAAAACACTACTCAAAATCAAAACCCAATTTATAACAAAATGACTGAAAAATGGATACCTTTTTTGTACAACATGTGCTCTCATTGATAGTGAAAACCTGTTTACCAATAATTTTTACCATGTTTTCATGTATTAACACAAAAATAGATAAGTCTACATGACATAAAATAATAAATAATTAATCAATTAAATTGTGTTTTTAAAACCTACATAATAATTACTTTATTTGTGGTAAGTTATATGTTATATATTTCTACACAAAACAATTCAATATTCAAATTAATATCTCATTTAATATTTAAAAATAAGTTATTTCTTCTTAAAAATTATGGTAAATTCCGGCGGATTAGAAGAGTCCGGAATCTGTGGATCTACTGATACGCCGGCAATGCTATCGACGAGTATATCGTATCGTTGGGTGCGTTGAAGGAAACGGACCAAAACGAGGAACAGGTCAGCGATGGCCAGCCGTTCGCCCGGACAGACACGACGACCCACACCGAAGGGCATGTATGCCTTTGGTCGGGTGCTAACGAATTGACCCTCTGAGTCGAGAAAGCGCTCCGGCATGAAATCATTAGCCCTCTCCCACTCCTTTTCGTTGCGCATAATATATCCCTGATATACCAAAATACCCGTGTTTTCCGGTATCGTATACTTATCTAGATGTTAACGTATTAATTTATAGTTAGATAGACTATTATTATATTAGTATACACGCAAGTTAACATTGCTTATGTTTTGTTAATTGAAACCAAGTTTGGCGTTGATATAAAATAATGTATCATTTGTTTCAAAATTAAACTAGTAAAAAATTCTGCTTAAGATAAGTGTATAAATAATTAGTTATAAAATAGATTACTTTTAAAAACCTTGGCCAACGCTAACTCAAGCAATCATTTTAGGCTAGTGTTTAAAAATGCTATAAATTTCACCCTAAATGTCATATTGTTATGCAGTGTGTCTTGTTTTAAGTGTTTATTACCGATGGTAGTCCTGCACACCGTATTGTGTCCGACGCCAAACGGCGCGACATTACGGTATCGCAACGCCTCAGCGATGAATGCCATACAATAATGGCATCGATTGCGGTCCTCATGTCTGGGCATACGGTCTGCGCCCACCTCTGCCTCGAC